CCATGATTGTTGTCAATAATTGTGCCACCAATGTTTAAACGTTTGATCCAGTTACTTTCTTTTCCTTCACTCTGACTTTTTACTTTGTCGTTATTTCTAAAATCAGAGAAGGCAACTTGATGAGACTAAAATTTATGGACAACTATTTGAGCGACGCTAGACTGACCTTAAGAGTGTCCACCTAATAACTACGACCAAATGAGGGTTATAAACCTATGTAAGGAATTCGAATTATGATGCACAGTTGATTAGATTAAGGGTTTTCATCACGAACTGACATAATGACAAAATTCTGTTTATCCAAATGGATGGGTGAATTTTGAACCAAAATCTGAGACCTTCTATCTTCGTGCATAAATTATAGTTTCACCATGCAACTTCATAAAAGCCATACTCCTGACTGACATTTTGAAAGTTTTGTGTCTTCTCCAGCACAAAAATAAAACACAACACACCCAACTTCTCTATGATAAACTACAATTATTCTGTCATTTTGGGATTTCATATATTTCTAACACCTTGAGTAACCATTTCTAATATCTCATCATTAGTATTGTGTAATCATTCATAAACATTTAATCGTTTATCGCATTATACATTATATTTTCCTAGAAATTTGATTCATGAAAACTCTACAATCAAAGTAAATCGTGTTTATTATCAGAAGGGGTTTTGTGCGGATTTTAGAAATTTCACTGGTTGAAATCATGAGTCAATTGAAGCTAGACCAACATGGAAAACCTGAAAGCATTAAACAGCCGTTTCGTCCTAGTATGGGACTCCTCAACAGTGCACATCCACGACCTCGCCCCCTGCGAGATTCGAACCCAGGACCTACTGGTCCCGCGACCGAGCACTTAACCACTAGATCACTGAGCCGGCATCCAACGGTGTTAACATCTAACTTCAACCAATCCACGAAGTTGCGCCACCATACACCATTGTCTTCAATGAGTTGATATCACACAACCGACCTGGTCCCATACTAGGACGAAACGGCCTTCCAGTGCTTTCAGGTTTTCCATGGTGGTCTAGCTTCAATTGACTCATGATTTCAAATAGTAAATCGTATTTATATTATTCAATGAAATTGATTTTTCATCTTTATTAGTATTTTAGTAGTAAATATATTTTTTTTTAAATATAAATTATTTTCATTCCATTTTTTAGCTCTTCTTAGAGCATCACATAATGGTTTAATTAATTATATTGAATTATTGTTAAATACTGGTGCAAGTATACATGCATTAGATAAATATGGAAGATCATGTTTACATTTAGCAGCAAAATTTGGACATGTAAAAGTTATTGAATATCTCTTAAAGTACAGTGAGTTTCATACAAATAATTAATCTCTCTCTCTCTCTCTATATATATATATATATATATTCTCTTTGTTTCGTTATAAATTCAGATAAGAATAACAGTATTATCGCTGAGAATATTTCAAATATAATTTTCACATATAATGACTTCTCTATACTCGGCGCTCAATTACTGTCAAACTATTCGTTCTAATCTTGATGAATATTCGTATAAAGTATTAGTAAGAGTTTAATTTATACTTGGAGGACAAGTTAACTGATATTTGTACTTGGTGGTCGATCAATAGATAACGTGTTATACTTGAAGTAAAAGATATGAGGTTCAAAATCTCATGTGAACATAAATATTGAAATGATGGTATATCTGAATGACAAATGCTAAATTAGACAAAACTTACATCCTAGACATTTGATACTAACTAAATTCCATTTATTATAAAGTTAATAATATTTGAAAAGTATTGATCACTGTAAGTGCTGGAATTGGCTTAAATTGTGTTGTCATGTAACTTTCATCGTTAACTCAACCTAGTTAGGAAAGTCAATAAAACCGTGTAACATAGAATGACTGTCTCGACCAAACACTAGGACTCTGGCGATGCATTCGTCCAAGATATATTTGCTTATAGTACTTATGAATGAAGGCAATATGCACAGTATGCACATATACCGATGAGAGACTGATCAATTGCAGTCTTAATCATCAATGGGAAGACCCAAGTAAACAATACCAAGTGAATAGAACTCAGAATGTTTATTTTTTGATTTAAGCACAATTTTGCGACATCCTGGTAAGAATACAATAGCTTGGTTTCTAAACTTTTGTGCTTCATAAAAGTCGACTGTACACATAGATCTTCTAATTTCTAGTTTCATTGGTTATCTAGCTGACTTCAGTGGATCGTGTAAATTCAACTTTCAAAACTAAAATAATTATCATAATTCCTTTCACTCAAACAATTATATCCAATTATGTATCTTACCGACTGAACTAAGTTCTAAACTTCTAAAAACTCTGTGATTTCCTTATCATTCTCTCTATCCAATATTTCGACATTTCTTCAGTCGAACGTGTTCATAATCATCCACGTGCATTGATATGAACGATGTCAAATTGTGGCGTTTGACAGCTAGTTGTTCATGCAAACGAAGATGGTGGCGACAACTATTTTATCCAATATTGTTCATTTACTTTTATATTCTGTAATGTGAAGGTCATTATTTGTCACCATTTATTAAGGTACATCTATATTTGGGACTGATGACTAAACCAAACACTTCTACCTGAAGAGGGGGAGTTCGCTCTCCCTCTTGAAATGCTCTCACATGACCACGCGTATATGGCCTCTGCCAGGGAAGTCCTACTCACTGCCTTCTCGTTGGAGTGTTTACGAAATTGAGAGGACTAAAAGCGAATATCCGGTGCCTTAACCGGGTTGGTGGATAGGGCCGATCCATCTAAGGAAATTCGAAAAGCATCATTCCGAACCAATCGTGTACATGGGCTCCATGATCCTGAAGGAACAAATGAAATATGAACCAGTCGTTGGTCACCGGCTACCATGGGACTGCATCTCCTTATGATGCTCCACTGTCTTGTGGGTCAGACCTTTAGGTCGAAGGCCCCGGGTGAGGCCCCCTAAGAAAACCACCTGCTTCGGTTTGGGCACTCGAGCAGTATCACAGCCCTCACACAAATCAAATTAGATTTGTGTGGCACATATGTATCTGGTGGCCCCTTGTAACAATATGTGTCCAAATAATAATAATAATGTTGTTCAGAAGTAAAATGAAAGCTCCACGACTAAGCTATCCAGCTCGAAAAACGAGACTCCATCATGTAAAGCTCTAATTAATAAATAAATCTCTGGTTCCCATTTATAATTCACTGATCCAAGTAATATTTCATTAAAAACTTTACAATTCACTTAGATTTACACTTATAGATGATTAGATATTAACAGACTAATTGCGAATTTTATTCCAGTTCCAGAAAAACTAATCGACTTACAAGAATATGAAAAGTAAGTATCGACCTTCTTACTTGTTTAATATTTACATATTCTAACTTAAATAAACTCATTAACCGGGTATTTGAGTATACCGAAAAGGGAAACGTGCGGAGCAGGCTTCAAAGCAAGGACTTAGTGGCCGAATATAGTATGACTTAACGAAATCTAGCAACAATAATCATAGACAAGGGAGTATACATACTCCAAGAATAACATATTAACCATTCATCTAGCATGTAGACACGAATGTCCGGAGAAATATCTAATCATTTACTTCTTGTACATGAAATGTATTCGAACTATCCAAGCTTTGTTATATGATTATGAAGTTCATAAATAGCAAACATTCATATCTTATTCAAAATCAGATAATACTGAAGATAAGTCTCAATAGCATGGTGCTCAGTCTAAAATACTTGAGGTAATTAACAGTTGAAATAATGGGATAAGAAAATCACGCTAACCGGGAGAACAAAAATAGACACAAATGTTACAGGAGAGCCTCTTGAAAATATATAGTTAGTTAATAAATATCTAGCACTGACCAAAGTAAAACTAGCATACAAATAGCATCGACTAAGCAATTTGTTTAACATATCAGCCACAAAGTCTGTACGTTTGACAAAGTATTTAAAAAATACAACTTAAAACGACAGTTTAGGGAAACTGGTTCACTTTCAAAATTGTGGGGTACATCATACTCTGAAACAGCTTACTGTAAAAATAAGACGCAACCTTTAATCAAGCATGTATGCTAATTCTATATAAAATATTTCAAATGTTCGTTTTGTCTTTCTCTCAGGAACCAAACAGCACTACATAAAGCCGCAGCAAGTCGAAGGAGGGTCATCTGTAAAATTCTAATCACAGCTGGAGCCTGCCCAATAATTACTGATATTTATGGGAAACAACCAAGTAATTTGGCATTAAAAGCAAATGACCCACACCTTGCTACTTACCTAAAAAGTAAGTCGATTACAACTATACAAACATCGATAGCAAAATATGAATCTCCTTTCAATAATAGAGCACTTGTCATTTCTTTTCTAGGAGAAGAAATATTGTTCATTATTAAAAGTGGAGTTGAGAAAGTAGATGTGTAAAGTGGACGAATGAAGCAACTTTGCAACGCATTCCAAACAACCAACTAACATTTCCCATCTTTAGAATAGAACTCTCGCACAATTTAGTATAAACTATTATTTATTTCTGTCTAATAGTATCTCCATAGAATCACTTAACCGAGAAACTTTTGTATTCCATTATAATTACGAATATATTATCAATAGAAATATTGTGCTTTTAATCTGAATAAAATTTACAATATTCGCATCCGATTTAGCAAGGAACCATTACAACTATGATTTAAACAACTGAATAAATGACAATAATAGATGCCTAAATACAATGAAAAACATAACTGAGCTTTTACAGAAAAAATATATATAAATAAGGGCTGTCATTTCATCCTTCTCTTAGAAAGCAGTCTCATAACTTTTTTTTGTCCACCAAGCCTAATTGTAAAACCCTAATATTGAGCTGGACAACCTTTAGTCCTATTAAATAAATAATCCACGTTTTTTTATTGGTGTCAGTCACGAAATCCAATTAGTAAAAGGAGGGAAGCGACCCACAGCAAAGGATTTTATAGAAAATATGAACGTCAAAGTGCTTAAAAAAGTATATTGAAACAAGTAAATGCTTTTACAAAACTTCTCCGCGATAATAAGTGGTTATCTGGGATAGATACCATGAGTCAGATTGCGTCTCAATGATATCCAGGAGGAGGTGGAGGTGGAGGAGGAGGATATCCTCGTACAGCGGTGACAGTTGGCATTCCACGACCGAACGCCGCAGTTGGTGCGCCTGCAGGGGGAGGAGGTGGAGGTGGCATGCCAGGAAGCGCTCGTGGCTGCATCAGACCCGGTGCTGGTGCTCCGACTCCCCAAACTGGCCCACCTAAACCAGCGGGTGGAGCTGGGGCGATAGCTGCTGCTGGGGTCGCAAGGGGCATGCCGCGCCCGACAGCAATACCAGTCAATGGCTTAACTCCAGTTGACCAAGCACCTGCTGTAGGGAGCGGAACTCGGGCGGCATCTTCAGGAGGTGGGGGACCATCTACATTCATAGTAACCTAAACAAATAATTTAAAGATAAATTTAGGGGAGCTCAATAAGTGTAAAAGCACTGTGAATAATATAAAACCCTATTTTGGGAGATTCAAGCTTATGAATGGTAGATTAGTACTAATTAAATAGATTAAGTGACAACTAAGGATCAGTACTAGAAAAGCAATAATTTACAAATAGATCATTACCAGAAAAACCAATACTTAACCGTCAACACATGGTTTGTTAATTTATTACTCAGTTGAATGAGATAAGAATGAATATCGGAGATAACGGATTAGATAATTATAAGAAACGTGTTATAAACATGATTATTTTACATATCCAAATAAAAGTTCCAAAATGAAAACTAACCAAACTAGCAAACCTTTTAGCTTAGAAAAGGTTAGAAAATTGAAGATAATAATTTGTGACGCTAGCAAACGTAATGATAGACTTCTAAAGATAGCCCATCTGAAGTAGATTACAGTCAGATCTGCCGTCCATCGTTCTACCAGGTAGGATTGAGATATTCGGGGTTTAAGTCCTCTAAGCCTCTTTTCAGTTTAATTAGTCACCTAAAGCGGTACACTGCACACTCAAAGAAACCTGTAGAGTTCAAAATCACAAAACATGTAGTGATAAGTATCGACAGCCATTTGTTTCCAGCAGCTACTAACTTAGAACGTTAAAGTCTGATCAGAACAATTGATAGTTATCACAAGATAAATCACTAGTATCCAGTTGAAAAGGACAAATAACCCAACCCTTTTTAAGTACATACTTAGATGTCATACTTAAAAAGAGTTTAATAATACTCCTGACCAGTCAGCTACAACGTAGGACCAGGCACATATGTGCATCGGTCCAGGTTGCCATACCGCATTAGCATAGCAAGATGAACACCGGATTCATAAGAGTGGTTAGGTCAATGGTAGTCATATATAGAGGAAAGACTGCATATAAGGATGTAGTATAGGAAGAAAGAATTAGTTAGTAGAAAGAAAGATACGAAGCAATTCTAATCTCTTAGTTTAAGGGAAGACAGGGAGTATATGCACCGACGCCATTGTGATCGATTCTGAGCCATGTCACCAAGAGTCTCCAACCATCGGTTACGAAAGTCACGCGGACCCCAACCAAGTAGTCTGCATCTACCAACATGGCTCTGACCTGAAGTTAGTGACTTTGTGAACTGATACCACGTTTTGGCTAGCTTGTCCGCCCCTAACTTTCTTCTTATCAACTCCAACACTAGTCAGTGTTGCTTGTCGTGGTAATCAGTGTTCAGGCATACGTACCACGTGGCCCAACCATCTCAGTCGATGAAGATTCACAACCTCATCAACTGATTTACCATCATTCCCTAATACCCTACGTCGAACCTCACTATTACTTACCCGCTGATCCCACCAGACGCCAGCAATATTTCTAAGGCATTTGTGGTCAAATACTAGTAGCTTACGAGTGTCTTCTACTCTTAATGGCTATGTTTCGCTGCCGTAAATTAAAACAGAACGGACTACCGCGCAGTACACTCGTCCCTTTATAGATAGACGGATATCTTGCCTTCGCCACAGGTGACGTAAGTTGGCAAAAGCCAAACGAGCTTTTCGAATCCGTGCTGAGATTTCGTCAGACACCAACCCATTAGGGCTGATTAGACTTCCAAGTTAAGTGAAGTTGTCAACGCGTTCGACTACTTCACTCCCTATCCTTAGTTCAGGTGTTGACACAGACCAGTCCTGAAGTAACAACTTGCATTTAGAGGGAGAGAAGCGCATTCCAAACATTCTGGCATTGTTGATTGGTGCTACCAAAAGACTCTGCATTTTGTCAGCGTCTTCACCAAACAGGACTATATCATCTGCGTATTCTAAGTCGATAAGTGGACCTCCTGGAAGGAGATCAATACCCGAGAATTCAGTCGACGAGAATGTTATTTCCATTAATAGGTCTATGATGAAGTTAAACAAAAATGGAGAAAGTGGACAGCCTTGACGGACACCACTTGAGGTTGCAAAAGCAGATGACAGTTCGCTATAAGCTCTGACTCGACTAGTAGTGTTCGAGTCAAGAGCCTTCACAAGGTTTATGTACTTCTGAGGTACGCCTTTCAATGACAGACACTGCCACAGAATATCGCAATGTACAGAGTCAAATGCTGCTTTCAAGTCAAGAAAGACCACCATTGTCGGACGCCGATAAGTATGCCTGTGTTCTAGAATCTGACGAATGGTGAATATGTGGTCGATGCAGCCACGACCAGGTCTAAAGCCAGCTTGGTTCTCTCGTGTTTGCAGTTCACGAGTCTTAGTTAGACGTCTGATAATTATCGAGGCTAGTATTCTAGATACTATATTAGTTAAACTAATCCCTTTATGGCTGTCACAGGTTGATTTTAACCCTCTCTTATATATTGGGACGATAAGTGATCGTGACTAGTCAGATGGAATAACGTCTAACTCCCAGATCTTAGCTAAAATATTAGTCAACCTAATCGCTAAAATTGGACCACCATCCTTAAAGACTTCTGGAGCCAATCTATCTGGACCAGCTGCCCTTCCTTGTTTCAGATTAACTATGGCCTTTTGAACTTCAGCTAGAGTTGGGGGACCTACTTCAATGTTCCATTAACAGTCTGGGAATAGAGGGTAGTTGTAGAGTAGCTGAAGGCCAGTTGAACTGTTTTCTAATGTTCCGCCCATCGTTCTAAACGTCTGGACTGGGAGCAGATGTGTCTTTTTCCGAAATAGTCTCACTTACACTCGACTTATTAATTCCAGTTTCTTTTATTAGTCTGTAAAGAGTTTAATAATACTCCTAATGAACGAAAAACTGTGGACTTTATTTTCGCTACTCCCTCTACGAAATTGACATGACTCCATTAGGATGAACAGAAACTACTTTTTATGTAGGCGATATCCACCTCTATTTGCTCGACTACTCAAACTGAATTCGAACAGGGTATAGAGCTAAGCTGTTTGGAAGTGGAGTACCAAACGTTAAGATGTTCACGGTATCTTTTAGCAGCTTCAATTGATGTGCATTCACAGTCATCATCCAGTAATGAATGCATCAAGTTATTACCAACTAGGTAGTTTTGTTAGTGGTGAGAAAGCTTCGAGGATACTAGTAATCAGGTCTCTCAGTCAGTCGGTCAGCTACAAAGTAGGACCAGGCACATATATTCATCGGTCCAATTTGCCACACCTCACTACCACAACAAGATCAACACCGAATTCACAAATTAGTTAATTCAATGGTGGTAATATATAAAGGAAAGATTGCATATAAGGATATAGAACAGGAAAAAAGAATTAGCGCTTAAAAAGAAAGATATAAAACCTTTTTAATCTCATAGTTTAAGGGAACACAGAGAGTGTATACACCTACGAAATTGTGACCGGTTCTGGGCCATGTCACCCAGTCTCCAACAATTGGTTACGAAAGTCACGCGGACTCCAACCAATTAGTCTGCATTCGTGAAAGTGTAATTTATGGACGACCGATGAGCGACGTTTAAGTGACCTTGAGTGTCCACGTAATAACTACGACCAAATGAGGGTTATAAACCTGTGTGAGGAATTCGAATTATGATTTACAGTTGATGGTTAAGGTTAGAAACTAGGTATTCATCACTAACTGACATCAGCTATAATGCTAGCTGACTGACTGACGATAATGCCAAAACTCTATTTATCCAAATGGATGGATGAATTTGTTACCTTATACATGATTGGTTCGTCCATAAATTATATTCTCGCCGTCCGCATCTACCAACATAGCTAAGACTAGAAGTTGGTGAATTTAAGGACTGATGCTACGTTAAATCTGGTGAAGTATAGCATTGTTGTGAAACACACACCTCTACATAAACTTATACTTCCCAGGCGTCGTATGAAATTAACAGTTTATATATACTTGAGAACGAGTAATCCAACGTAAAATGAGTGAAAATAGATTTACGACAAATTGGACTGTAGATGAGAAACAAGACATCATTGTTAACAACGGAGAGTTGGTAGCTTTGCAATTTAACAGGGATTCCCCGAAACATACATGAATATTACGGTGTATTAAAACGTAGCCAGGTTAGCAAGGAAATTAAACTAAGTTCTAAATTAACTCAGGGTCTTTGCGACTAAATGGTTAATCCAAGAAGACAATGAAACACAGCTGCTTATGCAGTGAATTTTAGTTCGAGTAGCATTGGAAATAATCAACTCTGAAAGTTTCTTAATAAACTTGCAACACTTTTAAGACGTGTTAACTATATGACTACAGATCCATACTTGGAAAACAGAGTAGTGTCCATAGAAAATATGTAGTTGTCACATTATAGTATTAACATAAGACCAATTACTAAGTTCGTACCGTCTTGTTGACCAGAGTAGTGAATTTCAAGCATACGAAGAACAAGCAGAGTTCGAGTTTCGAATTAAGTCTGGAATTTGAGTTTGTATTCATGACCGATTTATATAGAGGGAGATTTCCACACTTGCAATGTTTTGGAATCCTCAATGACGCAGATTGGCTGAAATATGACTAACGTCGTAAGGGAAGTTGATTCAACGATCTTAAATGGCTTTTTGGAAGTTGAACATTATTTCAATATTAATGTTGCACCCGTTTAGTGCGTATTACACTTTAACTAACATTTGTACGATACATGACAACAGAATTATATAGAAAAAAATTACTTACAACATGTTCACCTCGCAAAAGAACAAGGCCTAGAGCCCGTTTTTCCTGGCGATCCTTGTCTTGCTTTGCTGTCTTGTTTCTGACTTGGCGAAACTCGTCGCAATCGCACAATATTATATTCATGTGACGATCGAAAGCTTTGAACGTCCCTACTAGTTGCCGGCCATCTTGCATGGTACATCTAATCCTATAATTAACATGCTGGCTGATCTTTGCATTCTTACTAACAGGCTAAAAGGCAGTGATTAGAATAGGTGATAGCTTACCATAGTTGAAACCAAACGTCAGGTCGCCGACACGTTTGTATCGAACTAAACAAGCGCCATATAAAGTCTTCAAACTTGAACGGTGTTATACAGTTAAATTGACTCACACTTTCCATGGACTTGAGATTTCATGTTACGATTTAATGGAACGATGGAAGGTGCATTTCTCTTGTTTATACCTCAGGAACAGCGAGACAATAATCTATGGGCGAACCAATCATATTTAGGATAACGATCAATGAATCAGTCAACCACTGGACATTTAGTGACCCGAATGTCAGATGGTTTAGATGGTGGTCAGTGAGATTTCTTTGTGCCTACAAGCTTTTTTTATTTATCCACTTAACTGACAACAGAGAATCTATAAAATCCATTTGAACACTTAAATTTAAATTGTAATTCGCGTTTTCTATCGAAAAATTATTAGAAAGTTCTAATAATGTTTCATGAAAAAGTTAATCCTAAGTCTTACACACTTTTCTGCAATTTAATGGAGTACGTATGATACGTAGAAAAATCCTTTCGAAACTGAAACAAACGGACCACATTATCTCACTGTGTAGAATACCCAAGCAATCTAAGTTACACTCAATTTGTTGACGACTGGTGTTGGTAATTTACTCCTCCGTCACGACATTTCTCCGGCTGCAGAGGTTGCGTCCACACTGCGTCAGGAAACAATTCTGTTCTGGGCTTGTTGAGCGCAGCCTACCTAAGCTACGAATGTTCTGCTATCCTGCGTTCGACCACTAATGCTTGTAGAGGACTGTTGTTATCTGGTCACGACGCTGTATTACTGACATTGATGTCTGGAAATATCATAGATTCCATGAGTGTCACAATATACACAATCTACAATTTTAGGATTAGGTCTATTATTAGAGCAATACTATTAACGAAGTAGACCATGATTCTACAATACTTCTAAGGAGGATAGAAACCCTGAAATTTATTTCTATGGATCTTTTCATTCAGCGTCTGTTTGATCGTGCGACTTGTTTTTATTGTATTTGGTTCCTTCTGAATTAACTGGATAATAAGACTTATGCATCCAGTCTTGAAAATATTAGATAGTGATGGTGCTTTTAAAAACTGACATTGTCGTTCAATCTTATCAAGTGCATAAAAGAATACTGAACAGATTTAGCAACGGTATTGCTTGAGTTGCATAAGGTCCCATGCGATCGTGCCGTAATGATGAGGAAGCAGGTGCATGTTCTATACCAGCTAACGAAAAACAGCATTTATGCTTACCGTTTTTTAAATCACTTCCAACTCAGTATCCAATCAGAGGATGGTTACAGAAAGCTGATCTGTTATCAACTGTACTCAATTCATTCCTGACTTTTAACTTATACAATAATATACCTAAAATGATTAGGACATCCTTGCTCTAAGCAGGCCATACAAAATGGAAATTCAAGTTCTTAGGTTTACGCGGAAGCATTTCTGTGGTTAAAGTGAAATTTAGATTTAATACCTAAGCAAGTGAACCGCAAATTCTTCAAGCCCATATAGAAAAAAATCATTCCAAAATACCGAGACAAATGCATATTTTACGGATTTGTCATGTGTCCGAATTCACGTAGTAGTTGCCGTGCCTATCCACTTGTAATGGCCAAATATGTTATTACTATTATTGTATTCTATGGATTTGCGCGCTACTCATAATGTTATGTGACGCATCCGAAACGTTACGCCGTCAGCTTCCGATTTCGACTATAGTATTGTCCCAACCTAATGATAGTGTTAATTCTGATTGTTTTTAGCTGATTTCATCAGTGCACCCTATGTGTCTGCTGACTCATTGGCTCACCTTTTTCCTCCATATTCGTTCACTTAATACTTCTTGCACTCCCACACCACAAAAAGGGACCGTAGGGATGTGCGTATACCTACCAAATACTGAACGGTACCGTGTATTTTGTTACGAGTGAGTTCAGATGGGACTGATAGGACTACATAACCTGCTATGAAAACTATGTTTTACCATTCAGAACTTTCCTACTTGATACCCAATCAAAAACCAAAGATAATAAAACGATGTTAACCTCCGTATCTCTGGCACAAAATTTAACTTCATTAAATCAGTGGATAACTGAACCACAACACATCGTAGATAAGGAATTAGACTGTGTTTAAAAAGAGTATCAGAATACAAAAGTGGAGTGGTAATATAAATTTTAATTGGCGATAATTTCAAACAGAAAGCAGGACGATTGTCAACAAATCAATTGAAAACTTAGGAGTAGAATATTAAGGCTAGATCAACTAAGTTCTGGTATTTACACGTTAATAATTAACAGCACTGAAATCCTAAAATCAGCTTTTACAGCTGTCATTCCCGCTTATTTGTCCCATAACAGCATACGCAAAATAGGACTCCCAAGAAAATCCGATTGGCTTCAGGAAATTCTCTTAACAAAGTCGAATTTCACTCAAACCAGGTTTCATTAATCCACACTTACAATCTGGATGTTCTTAAAAGTATCTTCACATAATCATGATATTGCCAAACATGTTCATCAGGTTTCTATCTTTTAAATAACTTGACACTTTGGTTTTCTATTCGATTTAACAAAACGAACGAAACTGTCTGCAATAATGTCGTTGGTGTTTTATAAACACATTCAAATATTGCAGTTTCTCTCATATTTGTCTGTTTCTCGGTCGATCCAAATATACTTTAAAAGATAAACATACAGAGTTAGTAAAAATACTGCACTCGAGCTAAGAGTAAATCATAAATCATTGATCAAGAAAAACGGCACCACTCGTTTCATCATCGGAAAAGAGAACACCAATGGTTTACATATTCTTGTACTGGTAAAATCGAAAATTAATATTTCCATGTTGAGGCTGCAACCCACTGGATTTCAAATAACCAAAGGTCAATAGTTAGATCAACATACCAGACTCATTTATTAGGTACAGATTTTGGTTCTTGCCTCGGACTGCAGTTCAAATGTCAAGATTGGCGATACTATCTGGTTTCTCAAAGTGATTCAGGTGTGACAGGATTCACATCAAGATCTTAGTGGCCGAAAGTATAAACGGTCACCACTTCAGGTTACCATAGTCAGTATGAAATTCCTCCTGTAACCATTCTTGGGCTACTACCGGTCCCAAGCCCGAGTAACGGAGGATGGTTGAAAATGGGGTCGACAACGCAACCCGTAGAAGAAAATTTCGCCTAAAAACGTCGACTAGAATAAACAAACTAAACAATTTAAACTCTGCCCTGAAAGCTGAAGGAATAATTATGATGCCTCATAGCGAAGCCGATGCCTCTTCTAACAACCAGTGTAGGATTTAATTCAATCTACCGATATTCTACTAGAACTGTAAACGTGATACTGGCGACACCAGAGTCTATGTACAACAAGAACAACTTGGATTCAAACGTTATCTGTTTCTTAACGTAAAAATAACAATTTGGCTAGCACAATATTTAAAGGAATCATTGTCATTAGGTGAACCGCACAAACACACCAACCTGTACTGCATGTCATCGAAATAAATAAAAATTATGAGTCACACTAATATAACAGGATAATAATAACCTTCAACTGGCGGGTTACATGCAACAAGGATAGTCTACCGACAGATTAGACCAGACTGACCTGGTGGAATCTTAAGCAACACTTTTATTGGTTAGTTATGAACATAACTAACAACCAGTCAACAATTTTTATGGGTACATTGAGTGTTCGGACAATGTGGGAGACCATGGAGACCAGTCAGCTGATTACGGAGATAAAGAAATTCACCTTGATGGTTCTCGGATTCAATGAAACACATTGGACCCAAACTGAACAGAGATAGATTCGGGAGATGCTGCTGTACTCTGGTCACGAAGAAGAAAATGCCCCACACGCACTCAGGAAGTTGATAAGATTCTGTCCAAAGAAGCACGTAATCCACTTATAGGATGGGAATCTCACGGATCTAGAATCATCAGACCATCATTTAAAACAAAGGAGGTGGAGATCACAATGAAGGTTATCCAATGTCAGCAACGACGACAATAAAGAACATTTCTATGAGAGGCTGCGATCGGTCATAGCAAAGTGCCTAAGAAAGGACCTCACCATCCTGATGGGAGATCTAAACGCCAAGGTCGGAATGGACGACACCGGATATGAAGATATCATGAGACTACACGGACGTGGAGAGAGAAACGAAAATGAGGAGCGATTTGCAAATCTATGTGCATTTAACAATTTGGTTATAGATGATACAATATTCCCACACAAGCGAGTACACAAAGCTACATGGATCTCACCGGACCGCACCACTGAGAACCAGATAGATAATATTTGCATCAATAAAAAATGGAAGATGTGAGAACCTGGAGAGGAGCTGATATAACTTTAGATCACCACCTAGTTGTGGCCAACCTAAAACTAATGCTAACAAAACACTGGCAAACTGTGAAAATAGGATTACAAAAGTTCAACACAGCCTTCCTTCGAGATACTAACACACTCAACAAATTCAAGATAAATTTCAACACTCCCGGATGTAGATGGTACCCTGACGCGGTGGTCAGGCTGGCCTATCGTAATGACCCAACCGAGCTATGTTGGCCGGAACATATGCTCCTGTGGGTTTTACCATGCCAGGCAGGTCGACTGGAGGACGGTAAGACTAAATGCAGCGACTCAAGGTCTGAGGGCGAAGTCGTACTGCTGACTGTAGAGGGGTGTGACAGCAGTAAGGTGTTTCTCTTGGACAAGCAGCATCTGCAGCGATGCTGCCTTACCACAAGGATGAAAGAGGTTAAAAAAGGTCGACCCTAAAAATGTCACACCTCGCCTTACCTCACGGATTCCCGTCTCCGGGGGTAAAGCCCTTTGACGAACGAAGCTAACACATCAAAAACCTTCCATAAAAAACCGTGCGCGACCGGCCCTAAGCAGTTGTCCTTTGGGCTCTGCGTTCACGCTCCCAGGTCGTTAAGACCAACACCAGTTCGACTTCCTTTTCAAGGTTCCTCAAGGAATACCCTTCCACGGTGTGGGTAGCCGGGAACTGACGTCAACCCTCATACCCGTGACAGCACA